GCATGTGCGCGGGAGTGATGTTTATTGCTCTTTTTCTCTCATGCTCGGATTAAGTTATTTTCTGTGGTGACAGAATAAAGCATAAGATGTGGAATTAGACCTTTGTGAGCCTGGATTGATTTGTTTTTGCTGTTACACTCCAGTTGGGAGAGCATAGCTGTATTCTTTTTTAAATCAACGCGTTACAGGACGTCTTTCACGCATATCTGGAATATGCCTGTGTAAGTAACATGAATTGTTCTCATATCTTTTGCGACTTTATTGTCAGAGATGCAAAACACACGTTTGACATGCTTAAAGAGCGTTTCGCGCGAATCTCTCGAGTTCAAAAATCTGAACTTCAGCGGACATTCGCGCCGCGTTCATCAATCAGAAGCTTGCTCTTGTGGGGGCGTGATTGTGACGTAGAACCTGTTAATGTTGTCCTGCGGGGAATCCTCCAGGCGACACCGACAACAAGTCATCAAACTGGGCTTGGCTCAGTTAGAAGCACCGCTGAAAGCCTCCGTCATCCAGGTTCAGTTTCTGGAGGAGTTTATGAGCTCACAGAGCTGGATGCACCTCTGAAAGCATGTAGTGGACTCAGACACGGCCCTAAACGTATTGACGCTGTTTTTTCAGCCTTCATAAAGCACATAATCACTGTTATTTTCTTTAAAAAAATTCATGTTAGCCATTTAGTAATGAAGCTACAGTCACCGGGCAGACAGAAGCCCTACCCATCACGCGAATCCGCGTCTGTTCTGAAGTGAATTTGACACGCGAAGGAAGTGGATTTCACGCCCGAATAAAGCGGGGTTTGACACGTGAATGAAGCGAGAAAACTCAAATGTTCACGCGGCAATTTACGCGTGAAAAGCGCAATTTATCCCCGCGTTCCACGCCTGGTGTGTACACAGCATTGGAAGCCCAACAACAGAAACGGAACAGCTCTGTGGAAACAGCAGGATGGCATTTCTCCCTTTTGTGATGTCACAGGGGACGGAAGTATTTTTTGTAGTGCCCAAAATTCGTTTATTGTAAGCTTTGCTAAGCTAACTCTGTAAAAACCAAAGTCTCCCTTTGCATTAAACTTTGAGCATTTTACTTTCGGAGATGCTGTTTATGTTCACACAGCTACATTATACATCAACTAAAGTTTAAAATATGAGATCATAGTGGACCACCCCTTTAAATTAAAATGTGCTTTCAAAAGTTCCTAATTAGTAAGAATAAAACTGTTGTACTTAAATGTAAAGTATTATTATAAAGTAGCCTATTCATCAAAACCTGGAAATGTTCCTTGGATTTCATAAATATAAGCTACATGTCATCATAATCATATGTAAACACTTTGATCAATTTTGAAATATATGATCCATGTATATATGAGTTCTTTGTCTATCTTTGAAATCTAAACGTTAACTTGTATTTTATATATATGAATTGGATTTGCATATTTAAATTAGAAAGTAAAACTGCTTACTGCGCATCAGAGTAGGCTTTGTGTGTTAGAAATGCAATTTTATTAAACTATACCTGTCAACATCGGGATACAAGAATATGTTTGCCCTCCAACAACCATTACAAATATTGAAAAGAAATAAGCTTCAAATGATAAAATACAAAAGATACATAAGAAAACAAACAAAAAAAAAAGTTTAGCCAATTAAGATTTGTTTACTGATCCCATCGGTGTTATCGTCAAAGTGCTAATAGTGTGTTAATTTTTTTACTTATTTAATTATTCAGCCATTCCTTCATGTACCACTAGAAGGAAGCCTGTGTACCACTAGTGGTAGACGTACTAGAGTTTGAGATTCACTGTTTTATATTGTTTCAAAAACGTAATAACCATTCATAAGTATCTAATTCTTATCAAACCCTATTTTTTTACAAAAAAAAAAAACATGCATTTGAATTTAATTCAAATTAACTGAATTACATTTAAGAAATGTCACAATTAATAAAATTATTTAAAATGTATATTTTATTTGAATATATTTTAAAATGTAATTTATTTCAATCATTCTGACATAATCACTTGGTGTGCCATAAATATTTATTATTATCAATGTCGCAAACAGTCGTGCTGCCTAATAATTTTAAGGATTATCTGAAGTATAAAGATAAATGAATAGAAATCATTTTTATAAAGAATTCCTACAGTGTAAAAGCACTAATTTAATGACTCTCTGATGAATAAAAGTATTATTTTATCTTAACTTATTTTATCTTACTACAGTATGTTTGAATGGAGCACTGTAAAAACGATTAGATGACTTTACTTTAAAGTCATTATTTGAGTAAAACCTGTTGCTTTAAAGAGATAATTTGACATAGCGATAAACCAGTTGTCTTTATAAGTAAATGAATTTGCTCCACGATTATAAGAATTAAAAGAAAGAACATTACCACGTTACATTAACTGTTCTAATCTCTATTACACAATGTTGGTGTTTTTAGTCTATTATATATATATATATATATATATATATATATATATATATATATATATATATATATATATATATATATATATATATATATATATATATATATATATATATATATTAGGGTTGGGCATCTAAGCTATAATGCCGATCCGATACGCATCTCGATACAAAGAATACGATCCGATATATTAGCGATACATTTGTGACATATTGCGATGCAACACGATACGATTCACACCCATATCACGATACGATGCGATATTTCAGCACTAACTTATTAGATCAAGTTTATGAGATGATGTGAAAGAGGATGCTGTGCCATTGAATGAGTTTGATTATTTATTAACCAAGCAAAACCAAGACTTTTTTTTACAAACTGGCTTTTCTCTCAGAGCCAAAGTGTCAGTTTACAGTAGAGGGCCATTTTAGAACATATAGCACATATTATTTAAGTATTTTCAAGATAAACAGAATGTATAAGTGCAATATATATTAAAAAAATATGTATATATTTGCACTCTTTCAACATAAATAAAATTAGCATTGCACAACAAGAATTGTGATTTAACTTTTCAACTATGAAAACAAGTTTTACAAAGATATTTTGCCACTAATTATTCAAAACTTAAGGTTGTGAACTAGCAGTGTTATGCTGCTTTGAAACATCACTGTCACTGTAAACAACAGGCTTATAAAAATATAACAAACCAGCAATCTTCTTGCTGTGAGGTGGTCAAACTACCCACTGTGCCACTGTGACACCCATTATTTTTATCATTATTATTATTAATATTATTATTATTATAATTAAATAAAAATTAACAGGAGGAGGTGTTTAAAACCTTCGTTCTCCGTGACACTAGGCTGAATATCTTTGCAGATGAACAATGCAATAGCATTCGTTATTGGCGTAGAGCGAGCAGAACTGTTGCGCATGGAAAAAAAAACTTTCAATGCTTTTCTCACCACTTTTGGAGCTGGTTGAAGCAGTGCGAAAGCCGGGGATGCAGAAACACTGGAAGATGCTTTCACAACAACACCGTGGCGCCGCTTCAAGTGAGATATCAGATTAGTCATACTGCCCGCGTATTTTACAGATGCGCGGCACATTTTGCAAATTGCATCTGTCCTGTCATGTCGTCCATCCTTAAATCCATAATGTTGCTTGCCATACTTTAGATTTAAAACTCAGTGGGGAATAAAATGTTTGTTTTGCTTCTCGCGCTTTCTGAGGGCGCTCCACTAGCTTCATCCGCACACCTGATACACTGAGTTGTAGTGTAAGTGTACACATCCGCAAGTCGGTTGCTAAGGCTTACTTTATGTAGGTCGATTAAATTATGCGCCAAAAACAGGTTGACAACACTTGTTAATAAATAAAAAATACATTCTATATTAAAAATATAAGCTGTATCTCGGAAAAATCGATGCATCTCGCAAAAACCGATGCATCTCGATTTGCTTCCAAAATTTCATTCATCCTCTGCTGCTCAACCGATGCACTCGCATCGTGCACGCGCATGACCGCGTATCGATACATATCGGTTAATCTTCCCATCCCTAATATATATATATATATAATTTTTTTGAAGATCTATGTAATTATGTCTATTTTAGAGCTTCTAAAAGCTTGATTAATTTTTGTATTGTTTATTAGATTGATAATTTTAATACCTGTACAGAGACAAATGATGAAAATTTGCCTTCTGGCTAATCCTTGTGCATTTGCAGCAATAATGTACACTGTCCCTGTCAAATAAACAAATAAATAAAACAAAATTATTAAGAATTCAACTTAAGCTGTCAACAGTTCCAAGTTTAATGATAAATGAACAGAAATATTTTTAAAGAATTTATAACGTTAAAGCATTTGAATCGATTTAATTTTTGAATAAACGTATTAGTTATTTTATCTTACTAATAGAGTATGTTTGAATTGAGCACTTTAAAAAAAAAAAGGGGTTAACTTTTCTTTTTAAAAAAAGGAGTAAACCCATTACCGTAAAATGATTAATTAAATGTATGTGCGTAATTATAAAAATTAGAATGTCAACTTTACAGTTCCAAGTTAAATGTTAAATGAAAAGAAACGTTATGTAAATAATTTTTACAATGTTAAAGCATTTAAATCAATTTAATGACAATCTGCTGATTAAAAGTGTTATTTATTTATTTTTTTTTACTATTGAAGCACTGTAAAAAAAATAAAAAAACATTAGTTTACTTTACTTTAAAAAAGTGGATAAACTGGTGGCTTAAAAATATTAAGTAAATGAACTATGTGCATAATTATAAACATTAAGTTAAGTCAACTTAACAGTTCCAAGTTTCAAAATGTTTACTTTTTTAAAGAAATCAATCACTTTTTACGGGGTATTTTGATAAAGGAAATAACTGCAAAACTCTTAATGCGTCTATTATAATACATTTATTATAACTTTCTAAAGTGTTTAACTTTTACTTTGAAATACTGAAGTATTCTCATGTGCATCCCATCAAGTTTATGCGGTCTAAAAATACAACACTTGTGTGCATTCTCACGTATTTCCTCTCCCTTGTGACCAGGAATGAGGCCCTTTATTCCAGATAAGGATGTAGGAGTGTTTGAAACATTTCTGGAAGACATTGGGATCCGAGAGGGAGGGATTTTGACGGACAGTTTTGGCCGGATCAAACGGAGCATGAGCAACACCTCCGCCACAGCAGTGCGTGGATACGATGGCTGGAACATCCCGTCTGGATCCCAGGATTTCAACCGCAGAATTGATGACATCACACACAACATTGAGGCTTTGGGCTTCGAGGAGGTCAATGGAGACATAGAGGAGGAGGATTATTACTTGTGAACCAAACAGAACGAACTGAGGGAATAATAATATGTCCGCTGTGTTTTATACATGTTTTTTAACTATTGTGATTTTTATTTGTGAGAGTATTTGAATTGTTGCACTGGACCGTTTACACTGTTAGACATTTTATTGCCTTTTTGCGGTAACTTACCTTTTTTTACTTAATTTACCACAACTGCCCTTTACCTGTAAATGTGTTTTATAGTATCATGGCCCTACCACAATTTTATTTTATATTAAAGTAGCCTTTCCCCAACTTCTTTTTATTGTAAAATGCTCTTTCACTACATCTTAATTTTAAAGGATCACATCAATTTTACAGTTTTTTTGCTGTAATTTATTTACATTTTACACTGGCAGTACAAAACCTTAATTTAATAAATTCCAAACAAGTGACAGGCTCATGTGAAACAGGCTCATGTTTTTTTATTATTAATTGTTATTATGTTCATTTTAAATGGTTTACACAAGTAAATTTCGTTGATCAATTTATTTTAAATGCATTTTGTGATACAAGATGTTAATTAATATTTATATCACTAACTGTCCTATTTTTGTCTCTAACTACAGTAGCAGTACTTGAATACTTTGATTACAGTTGAATATCGCAAATTCCTAATATGCCGTAAGCTACTGTAAAAGCTTTAAAATTACTCACAATGCAGTGCATATTACATTAGTGAACGTAAAAAAATTCTGTTATTTGACTTTTTTTTTTTTCCAGCAGCAGGGAAAAATAACGATCAGCAAAATAACGATCGTTAAATTATAGAAATTTACTTTAAAATAATGGCTGTTAAATTACAGAAATTTACCGTAAAATAATGGTGTTAAATTACAGAAATTTACTGTAAAACAGTGGCCGTTAAATTACAGAAATTTACCATAAAATAATGAATGTTAAATTACAGAAATTTACCGTAAAATAAAGGATGTTAAACTACAGAAATTTACCATAAAATAATAGCCATTAAATTACAGAAATTTACCATAAAATAATAGCCATTAAATTACAGAAATTTACCATAAAATAATGGATGTTAAATTACAAAAATTTACCAAAAGATAATGGATTTTAAATTACAGAAATTTACCATAAAATAATAGCCATTAAATTACAGAAATTTACCATGAAATAATGGATGTTAAATTACAGAAATTTACCATAAAATAATGGATGTTAAATTACAGAAATTTACCATAAAATAATGAATGTTAAATTACAGAAATGTACCATAAAATAATGGATGTTAAATTACAGAAATTTACCATAAAATAATAGCCATAAATTACAGAAATTTACCATAAAATAATGGATGTTAAATTACAGAAATTTACCATAAAATAATGAATGTTAAATTACAGAAATGTACCGTAAAATAACGGATGTTAAATTACAGAAATTTCCCTAAATGTAAATTTAAGTTAAATTTTTGTAATTTAACGTTTGTTATTTTGTTATTTTACGGTAAGTTTCTGTAATTTAATAGCAGTTATTTTAAAGTAAATTTCTGTAATTTAACAGCCATTATTTGGCACCCCATCTGCCTGAAAAAAGTAACATAGCAGAATGTTTTTTTACAGAGGATGTATGTGGTATTTTACAGGCTTTTTCACAGTAAATTGTGACAAAGTCTAACAGTGTAGGTCACTTAAGTTCAAATCAAATTATGATTATCCACTTTTCCACACACATTACACATATTTTCTATGCACTTCATGAAATACAAGAGTAAATGATAAACAAATGGTGAATAAAAAAAATTTCAGGTTTTAATAGAGTTAAATTTGGCTTTTAACAGTAAAATTGTTTTTATAAACGGGTTATATTTGTATATGTGTCATCATTCTCGTCACAATTCATCCATTGAATGTCACTAATTAAAATAAACAAATTACTTTCAGTAGATCATGAATAACATCAAAAACTCGAGACAAGTCTTTCTCCAGCAATATTAAAATGCATATTGACCATGGCGTCACAATAGGCTCATTCTGAGAATGTCGCCCTATATCCATTTCTGGAGATCGAGAATTATGTAGCCAGAGCTACATATGGCAGCATTTCTTTTTTAAAATGAACACTGGCGGTATGATGCCTCTGTTTGGACGCTGTTACTAAATTGTCCAGTAGCTGGACTTGTAATTCAGCAGACTTGAGATGCAGAGAGGAGTTGACCACAACAAAGCGGTTTGAGTCTGGCGAAGAACGGTTGCAGAAAGAAGGTAAGTCAAAAACAAAAGTCAAAAAATAAAATAAACAAGTAAATAAAAGGTTGAAAATGTGGTAAGATCTGAAAACATGGTAAAAATCTGGCTTTTCTTTTTCTGGATTGCTTTTTAAAAATGTCTGTTGGGTTTAGGGAAGTGGGTGGGCGCTGGTCATTAGGTGCTTTTACAAACACTATTGGTTGGGTTTATGGAAGGAGGAGAGTGAGTCATTCGATTTGTCAGTCAGTCGACAGCGGCCATTGGTGGATTTACCCGAGAAGAGCAAATACTTTGTTACTGTACTTAAGCAGATTTTTCCACTACTTATTTTTCTGACAACTTTACTTTTACTTCTTACATTTTTACACAAATATCTGTACTTTCTGCTCCATACATTTTTTTAATCGAGCTCGTTACTTTTCTTTTTATGTGTTTGGTGGCGCAATCTATATTATTTCTTGTCATTGCGCAATTTGAGCGTCTTATTTATGCAGTCAATACATTTTTTTCATTGCGCGCATGCGTGCTGTCCCGCAGCTTTTTTCAACCAAGGCTATCATGCACCGTACGTAGGGTAGTTTATGAAGAATACTAAAAGAAATGCAAAGATAATTTGCAGTCAAATACAATGAGAATTTATTTTAGCTAAAGAAAATATATTTTTAATATATTCAATAAAAAGATATATAAAAATATTTTAAGAGTTCTATGTTTTGGACAGAATTCAGTATAAAACGTAAGACACTATTTATAAGGATTTACAGGTCTACAGAATTATTTTTAGAGTGTATGAACATGAATGGCAGCTGTTGTTTTTGATCCAGCTGCCACAAAATGATGAATGTTGTGAGTTTGCGTCAAGATGATGATACAAGGGGTGGGGGGGGGTGTACTTTTTACTTAAGTACATATTTAAGGCGAAGTACATCTTTACTTTTACTTCAGTAAAAAAAAGTGTAGTCAGTACATTAACTTTTACCAGAGTCATTTTAACCAGTTAAACTTCCCAAATTCACATGCAGAGGGGTAAATGCAAAAATTTGGTATAATTTTAAAGAAAATCCTTTGAATTTTCTTAAAACACTATTGAAAGTTTTTAAAATATCTGTGTATGTTGTCTGTGTTATAATAAACACCTAAAAAAAGAGGCGCTTTGTTTTTTTTTTTTATAAACTCAAATTTGAAAGTGTACCTTTTACCGTTCTGTGTGGTCTAGCTTGCTGTAACTAATTTTGGTGGTTCCTGCACACGTCTGTAATCATAGGAAAAATAAAAATGTCTCCACCATAATTTATTTAAAAGTTATTGTATTCCAACTGATATGAGGTGCTATACAAGCCACAGGGACCGAACATTGTTTTCATATTTCACTATTCTTTTGTTTGATCAAACATAATTCACTGTGTTTGGATCACGTCAGACATATAAAAGGATTACTTATGCACATCACCTCAAAAATAGAGGAGAATGGCCCTGAAGCGCACGGCATAAGGTAAGAGATGACAGCTGTCTGCTATCTGGGGCTGATTATTGATCATAAATGTATTGTTATCATTTCTGCGCCATGGAAACACCGTGATTCATTCGGCAACTGTTTGATATGTGAATATAATTCAGTAAAAAGAATGCTAGAACCGTATGAGCACCGGCAAGAGCTTTCATTTGAGCTATAACTTGTACATGTGTCATATAAAAAATATATAAATGAACCATTGTAAAATACCTAGCTTAGGTATTCAAAATACTGTGTATTTAAGTGTAAATAACTTTTGCACAGTAGAATAAAAACAAAAGGGATGCATATGTGCATAAAATATAGATTCTACACTTTCAAACGAAACCACTTAAGGGGGTCTGGTGCAATGCTAGCCCTTTAAATCTTAAAGCGAAAGTTGATGTTGATGTTGATGTTGTTGTTGAGATCTCAAAAAGCATACACAGCGGCCTCTGATGGATCCGAGAAAACGAAAACTGCAAAAAAACATAGCTTCTGGGTTGTATTGGTTGCATCCAAAAATGTATATAGAGGTACGTTTTCAGAATGAGCCTGGGTTCACATTGCTGTACTATTCAAAGAGAAAATCTGGACTAAATCTGTGAATTCAAAAGAGCTTTGCTCACAGATATGATTATGACATTACCAACTCCAAGCATAACATCAAGCTAATGGGTATTTAAAAAAAAAAAGCTCACCATGTATATGGATTATTTGTAACAAAGCTTATTATTTAAAATTATTTGTTTCAGTTCTTTTGATTGGGAGTTGCCCATGCTGAAAGCTCTTTGAAATGCAGCAGACACGTGTGAAAAAGTTGGATATGTGCACTTTATTTGCCACAGAGTGTGTTGATAAAAAAGGGTTATTTTGCATCCCATTTGCATTAGTAAATTTGCAAACTATTTGCATGCAGGTTTGGTTATTGATCACGAATAGAGCTCCAGTGAGGAAGTACCAGAAAGAACTTGAAAAATTACCTAACATTTAGAGAAAAGGTCAGTCAGGAAATGTGTGGAAAATATGAGGATACGAGTAAGATGATCAGATGATGACGACAGTGATGATGATGAAATGTTTCTTTTTTTTCCCAGCCAATGCACATATAATCTGCAGGAGTATATCGCTGCTTTCTGTGGGGCCAACCAGTCGTGATATACTGTACTCAGCCTTGGCATTCTTTCCGGTGACTGCCACCTTGCCGCAGTCTAATGCCCTTCCCCTCAATGCCCTCTTATCTGCGCCAACCACAGATGGCTGATGGGCACTGAGCCCGGCATTGGGGGTTATCAAAATGGCACATACATCTGTCAGGCTAAATGTTTGTTATGTAATGAGACCGGGCAGAAGAACAGAGCCAGACAGGGTTTAGATTTAAAGTTAAACCTCTCTTCACACCCAAATAATCTTACTCAAGCTATTGGGGGACAACTGTGAACAATTGTTCTGGTCCTTGTGTTAAGACAGGACAACTGAGGCATTTTTGAAGGGCTGATTTGGAAACTTCAAAATGACAAATAAGACAATTGAGTTACACTGCTGTGATAAAATGTATGTTGTAAAGTAGCTAAATGTTTAAGACTTTCTGGTCTGGCTATGTGAGCCTATAGTCTGAAATAATTAATTTTCTTTGCTTGACATACTGACATAACTGAATTGTGAAGCATTGTCTTGAATATTGTATTGGTTGTGTGTGTTATAAAATGAATGAGATGATCTAGGGAGCACATACATGTTCATTCCTTTTTGATTTTACAGCCAAAAAAATGTGCTAAATGCTTCACATAAAAGAAATTGCTTAGACAACTTGGAAGTGTTTGATAGGTTTGATTATAAGCTGTCGCTGTCTACAAACTGAAATTAAACAGGAATTAAATTGTGAAAAATGTAAACATTGACCCAGCTAGGAATTTTTGATTTCCAGGATGTTTTATGAACGTTAGTTTCTGGTTTTACCAACATTCTCAATTGGTTAAATGTTACATTTATCTTGGAGTATTATGAATGTTATAATCTTAAAGTAAAATGTTATAATATATTTCTAAATCCAAGCCCGTAGCCAGGGTGGTTCGGGTGGTTCGAAAGACCCATCCCACACTGACAAATTTGTCCCATACATGAGCTCGCTTGTCATATTTTGACTGCTAAGCCATAATAAATTGTGAAAATAACCCATGAAAGGCTTTAAGACTGAGAAGAATCTGCTGCAATAAAAAAGCGTGAAGCTCCAAAAGTGGACCATATTAAAGTGAATTTTAATTAGACTAATGATTTAACTAATTAGGCTATTGTTGTTATCATCTAAAAATCACATATTTATCATATATTTATCATTTATTAATCATTTATATTTATTTTTAATTTTTCAATATTCAAATGGCCAAATTCTGACTAAAGAAAGTTAAATTTACAGGCCAGTTTGTTATTTGCCTAATAAAACACAATAGGCTACAGTTTTTCATTTAGAAACTTTAACAGATTCCTATTTTTTCCTAATGATATATGGTGTAATAAATTTGTATTTTTAAAAAAAATGTAATGTATTTTTTATGTTTCTTTATTCTAATTCTTTAGGAAATAATTTTAGTACATCAAAAAGTGTGCTTATGATGACCATCTGGCAAGCTAATCCAGCACAAAATGTGCTTAAAATGTCACTAAATGTAGTATTTAAACCTAACAATTAAATAGAAAATGAGGTGAATAACTGCAAAAGGTACACTTTTGGAGAAAAAAAAGAACTATCCTTCACTAGGCTGACTACTGATCTTAAAATAACACTTTTTTGTCCAGATTGTGGCATATATAGATAGATTATTGTTTGATACATACCTATTCTTTAGATTGTACGGAATATAAATAATTTATAATAACAAAACTGCATAAATTCCTCTCTCTGTTTCTCTCTCTCCATCAGAGAGCGCGCCTGACGCTTTATTTAAAACCCTTAATCACCCATCAGCCAATAAAATCGACGCACGCGCGATCTATTTACTAAAATTCTGCACTCTGAGCCAATCGCATAGGAGAAGGCGTGTCCGGGTAAGTCGCGCCGCGATAGAAACAAAGCTGAGCATCAACCGTCGCTTTTACTTGAGAATGGCGGCTGCTGCGTGCAGTACGCAGAGCACACTGAATCCATGCACTGGCAAACTGCACAGAGAGCATCTGCGGAAAAATAAAGATTCGCGAAGGAGACAGGCTGCGCTTTTATTTCTCACCAATATATCACTGGACGGACGGCCTGTGCGGAATAATGTCATTGCAACGGCCCCCAGTGATGCCGAGTTTCAGTGCGCTGATATCGCCACGGCTGTCAACGAACTGTCCGCTGCGGCAAGTAGCGACGGGACCTTCTCCAGCCTCCCTGTGCCCAGACTCGGGCTGCTCGGTGTCCCGCCCATCCTGGTGCTGCCGTCTGACTCTGGGTTCAGTAACGCGGGGAGCTCCGAGATGTTCTTGGAGAGGACGAGAGGCTCGTTCTCCTCTCAGAGTAACCTGCTGTCCCCGTGCAGTCTGCAGCCCACTCCGCTCGGACCGCGGAAGTCTCCAACGCTGCTGTCGGTGCAGAGCTGCGGCTCCTCGCTGGACTCCCGACCGCGGTAGGTTCTCACAGCTTCATGTTTCACTTTAAATGCAGTTTAATATAGCGGAGCTTAATACATTCTGGTGGTTAACAACAACAACTTCTAAGTGTCCACTAGGTTTCAAAGTAACAATGTTATCAGCTAAAGTAACATTTTGTTAATTTGTTATTTATTTATTGATTAATTTTATTTAAAACAAACAAATACCAGGACCACCTAGAACTACAGTAGGGGGAGAGAAGAATATAGAAAAAGCACATAAAATAAAAATAAAATACAATATATGTTATTTTTATGTTGTAATTATTTTACTTATTAAGTGGAGAATTTTACATTATATCATTAAAACAACATATAACACAATAATAGTATGTTCTTTGCAGCATCCACTGTAAATTTAAAACATTTAAGTAAAAAAAAAAAACAGAAACGTTAAAAACATTCATACTTACATCTCTGGAATGTTCTGATGATCTGTGGTATTTTTGTTTAGCAAAACACAAATTAATAATAATAATTCATTTTGAAAATGGTCCAGCAATGGTATAGTAGCATAATTTGCCTAAAAAACTATCTATCAGGAATTATCCAGACTTTAATACTTAATAGGCATGGGCTGGTATAAGACTCTGATGGTATGATAACCATGGATAACAATATCACGGTTTCACGGTATTGTAATTACTGCTCTAAAATATATTATTAAAATGTCTGGGTAAAAAACAAAAACTTTTTCCCATTTGAACACAATTTGTTTTATTTTGAGAAAAATTCATAATATTTTGGAGCAGTAAACATGTCAGGCGAAATTATTCAAATTAATCATTGATTTCTGCTGTCTTTATTTGTTGTAAAAAAACACTGATTTCTTTACCATTTTAAAACAGCATTTTTGGATATCTTTTCTGCAGGAAATCCTGTTGTTTTAAAAAATCAAAGCAAAAAAGTGTTAAAAAAAATCTTACACACCGTAGGACAGGTATAACAGAAAATACCTAAAATACAGTTATCGTCCTCTGCCTAATACTTAACTTGTTATAACTGATTTATTATTAATTTAGAAATCCAACATAAGCTCTTATACAATCTTATATTTAAATATATATATATATATATATATATATATATATATATATATATATATATATATATATATATATATATATATATATATATATATATATTAAATTGTTGCAAACTTTTAGAAAGAACTGGGCTTGAGTTGGGTCAGAGCAGGTATATTTGAATATGGATTTTACGCAACATTACATCAACTCCACTGTGTATTTACTGTGTAAATTGCCTGTAGACATGTTTGAATTCCACTCTCGGCCTTTAACATCAGAATGTGATCGTAATCAGGTCTCTTATCTCCTGTGCTCAACTTGTTTGCTTTATTATACTTCCTTTTTTAACCCTGCTTACTTTGCATCTCTCATTCTTGTGACAAAGATATTTTGAAATCATAATATGTAGTCACGTTTTACCATCGTGTTATGCAAGAACAGAGTAATACATAGGAAAAAAAAATACAATTAATGTTTATTTATTGTCTGGTGCAGTATAATTGAACATGTCACTTCCTTAACTTGGATAAATAATGTAAGATGTTAATCATTACTCTCAATCACCACATTTAGTTTGAGAGACACTGTAGAGTCAGTCATGATAATGATACCATATGGGTGCTTGGAAATGTTTACAATTATAGATGACACAACCTCATCATCACAATTTTTTTTATCCACCAGAAACTTCAAAAGCTAATTACAGAGAGCAATGTACACTCTAAATGCAAGATGTATACATAATGTCAACACTATGGCTGCACAATATTGAAAAAATGACATTGCAATATATCATTTTTCTGCAATACACATTGCGGTATTGAGTATATGCCGGCAGCAATCTCTCTGCAACTCTCACATGGTCGCCGGAAGTGGTGTTAGTGATTCCAGCAGGGAGTGCTATACCTGCCGATTGTGTGGGTCCCAACGCCCCAGTATAGTAAAGGGGACGCTATACTGCTTAGTGAGTGCTGTCTTTTGGATAAGACGTTAAACTGAGATCCTGACTCTCTGGTCATAAAAAATCCCAGGATGACCTTCGAAAAAGAGTAGGGGTCCAGGCCAATTTTGCCCACTGGTTTTTGTCCATCATGTCCTCCTAACCATCCCCATATCATTATTGGCTTCATCACTCTGTCTCCTCTCCACCAATCAGCTGGTGTGTGGTGTGCGGTCTGTTGTAATATGGCTGCCGTTACGTCATCCAGGTGGATGCTGCACACTGGTGGTGGATAAGAAGATTCCCCCAAATGTGTAAAGCGCTTTGAGTGTCCAGAAAAACACTATATAAATGTAAGGGATTATAATTTCATTCACTCAGATGACTTGAATGGCTGTATTTGGGGAAAAACAAATCATACTTTTGGAGTAATTGGGATGTTTTTGAAGAGCATTTGCATAAACTGCAATACACCAATAACAAACATTGATAAATACAGTAGAGCAAAGATAACAATAAAATAAACAGTACTTTATGTTTTATATAAACAGTGCAGTCTATTAGTTTTCAGGTACACACGTTGAATAATCAAATAAAAAAATAACATGATAGTCTCCATCGTATAGAAATAAGTACAATTAATCTTTGTTAATTAATCAATTAGTCGTAAACGTTATAATCTATTGCACGTGAATGCTTTAAACTGGCTTAAAATGTTTACGTGGACCTTAAGAACTAGGGTTGGGCGATTAACCGAAAAGTAATCAAAATCGACATTCAGAACCAATAGTCGATCAAATTTTTCCAGGTCAATTTTTTTCAATTACTTTCACTACCGGAGTCACATGACTCTGTTCTGTTAAGGCTAATTTATACGTATTATATTATGATTTATACTTATTATATTATTCTGATATTATAATTCTGCCAAGCACACGCATAAAGTCTGGCACAGCCTTCACATACCCGCACACCTCTGAAAAAAATGTAGCACAAGCTTTGTGACTGGTTGGTTTGGTAGCGGTGATGAGGGTGGGCGGCAATGAGAGACGCATTTTAAGCAATGTGTGTTTTAATTTTAGTTGTTCTGCGTTGATGTTCAATAAATGATCACAGATAATCAAGTAATGCTGCCTTTATTCAGAAATCTCTCACTTGTAGGGCTCTATTTTGACTGTCCATGCGCAAAACGCAGGGCGCAAACGCTTTCAGGGCGTGTCAGGACGCGTTTTTGCTAATTTAAGGACGGGAAATCTGCCTTGCGCTTCGGCGCATGGTCTAAAAGGGTTGAGTTTATTTTCTTAATGAGTTATAGGTGTGTTTTAAGAATAAACCAATTACAGTCTCATCTCCCATTCCCTTTAAGAGTCAGCTGCGTCGCGCCAAGAGCGCATTCGCTATTTACAGGACGCAAAGTAAGTCTAAGTGGAAAAAATGAGCATTTCACAAGCAAACAGTTGACAGTTTTTTTTACAGAAAACTGTTAAACAGAGCATCTACTGCGTGAGAATGAGAGATAATGGATCACTTTCACTTTCACTCTTGGATAGGGAAACCTTTACGCACAGACATCAATTAGTCTATAAATAAATACTTTTGTTTGTTAAGCGCAAATATTCGTTTCAAAACTATTTCTAAATTCAGTTATAATTTCCAACAAACGAATAAATGAATAATAATAGCAAAATGTGCTCAAAAAGCAGTGGTTTTTCATATTTATGTAGGCTAGAAAATAATATGTTTTGTATTATTTTAATCCTTTATATTTATATTCTATATCTATTATTATTATATTCTATATATATCCTTAATATTTAAATTTTTTCATATGTAAAGATATTTGCCTATTGCTCTCTTGTGCGTATTAAGCAGTGCGGAAGCGAAGCGCAACTCTGCGCCGGAGTATAAACCGGGTTAGTTTTGGTCTAATGAAAAATCTATTTTAGATTCTTAAAATAGCAACGCGCCAGCAGTCCGCCTCAGAACGCCTTCCTTTTTAGACCAGCACGCCTATGGGCGCACAAATGAGCGCTAATGCATTTGCTATTTAAACAGCCTAGCGCAACGCCTCAAAACGACTCTTGCGCCAAGCTTAAACTACTGACTACTGCGTCACGCCTTGCGCCACACTGCGCCGGGTGTATGATAGGGCCCGTAATATGTGAGCATATTTACTGTACTAAACCTGTGAGTGAACTATGAGGGCAAAAACATGAAATAAATAGATAAAAATAATCATCAATTAATCGTAATCAAGTTAAAATGTTTTATGATATTTAGATTTTAGGCCAAATAGCACAGCCCTGTTAAGAACACATGCATTTTTTGTAACATTGTGGAATCACTGCTAAGTCAACTGGTCAACTATGACTCCATACTGCAGATCCTGCGATGTGACTATTGCGAATGCACACATTGCAATATCGATACTGAAATGATATGTTGTGCAGCCCTAGTCTACACAGACTATACTGAGTGGTTTATTTACCATACCTGTCCAATCAGAGTGTAATCTATTTGTACTCTAAATAAATATACACCTCTATTTACAGTGAATGAACCATTTGTGGTTGCATACACTCTAGTTAGCTGTTTTGGAACAGACATTTTTTTAGTTTGTGTCCAAAATTCTTTCTAAACATTACTCTGACTGTTTTCATTTTGAATATATATGTAACTGAGACTGAGCTACTGATTGCAGAAGCTGAAATGACAAGATTTGATCTACTTCACTTTTAAATGTTCCTCCAGACATGCGAAAGTATGCAAGAAAGACTGTGTTTTCATTCTCACCACTACACACATTGACCACAGACTGAACAAGCCCCTTTCTGGAATCCAGATGACTTCACAGCCAAACAAATGTTGCCTTAAAAAGGCCATTTGCGCGTGAGGTTTTCGACTTAAGCTTGGTTTATCTCTCCAGTCTCCACGTGAGGAAGTGAAAAACTTATCATACACAGTGAGAGAATGACATTTATGTTCAGCTCTTAATCTCCTCCTCAGTC